CCTCGAGCCATTCCATGAAGATGAAGATTTTGAGTTCTTTCATGTCTGCACATCAATAGAAAAGAAGGCTGCACATCCACATCCACACCCACCACCCCCCAAGATTCCAGACCCTAAATCAAACAAGAAAATAACATTTAGTTCTTCTCAAAATTCTTCCCACGCAGCCCACACAATCCAATCCCTAGGTGAATCCTGTAATCTCCCTATGTCCCCTTAGCTTAGACTCCCTAAAACCCGAGATAGAAGTTTCCATGTTCTTTTCCATTATCTCTACATAGCACTATTGTCTATCCGATATAACTTATAATCCTGTATTATACCCCCTGTATGACAAAATTTATAATGTAGTAGTTTCCATTTTCTTTCCCATTATCCCTATACAACCCTATGTTATAACCCTAAATATCCTTATATAACCCCACCCTAAACCCTATGTTCTAAACCTTAAACCCTAAAACCCAAACCTGAAGCCCTAAACCCTAAACCACAAACCCTAAACCCTCCGAGCACCCGGCTCCAGGCTCACTTCCAGTGGGACCCCGCCGCTCTGGCGAATCATCTCAGCATCCTCAAAGAGAGCTTTGGCGCTTTAGGGTTTAGGATTTAGGGTTTAGGCCTTAGGGCTTAGGTTTCCCTCCCCGCAAAGGTCTAAGTCCACTGGAAAACTGGTAGAAACAATGATACTTACTCTTTCAACTGGTTCTTAGGACTCTGGATAGCACCAAATAGAACCCTTAGGACCCACGTCGTACAGGAAAGCTCCCCTGCAAACATGGACCCTTCACTAAAGTAGTCCTCACATAATCATAACTATTAAACTCAAAACCCTGAACCCTACACTCGACACCCACCCAAAAAACCTGCAAAGACAACAGTGAGACAAACCTTGCGGCCATGGATTACCTAACCACCACCACCCTCCTTTCTACCCCTGTCAGGCTCCCTATTACATAGGCTTGTGTAGGCTTGACTTACGACAACTAAGAATATTTTTTTCTGAGGTAACCCGCAAGATGGTAGCCTAAACCCTGAACCCTAAGCCCGTACAGGGGGGTGGTGAGAAAAAAACCCTTACTAGAGGAATTCCATGAAAAAACCTTACCCTAAAACCCTAAATCCCAAAACTGTGGGTGCCCCCGCCTGTGCCGGTGTTAGGACTGGGACCTCGGAACCGTAGAGATTCGGCCGCTCCTTAGTAAGGAGTGCTGGGTTGGCTCACAAGAGCTTAGGGGTAAATCCATAGGGGTGGGTCTCTAAATTCAGGAATAAGGGAAGAAAGCGTAATATAGGGATAATGGAAAAGAAAATGGAAGCTACTGCTTTGCAATAGGGTATATATGCGTAGTTCCCAAAATGAGGGTCCCATTTTGGTACCGCTAAATTTTAGGTGCCGTAATATAACCTATGACTGAAGGGGCCCAAAATTTTGAGAAACACACATATAGGGTCATTTTGGGGGCATGGAGAACCAAATGGAAACTGCTATGGTGATGGAGGGGGATGTAAAGAGTAGGACGGAAGGTTTTGGGACTAGGCTTGGGGGTTTACGGCCGGTTCAGGGTCCAGGCTCTAAATTCGGAGTCTGGGATTGAAAAACCTTCAAGCCGAAACCCTAAACCCTAAACCCCCAACCCTAAACCCTGGGATTCAAAAGGGTCAGGGGTTAGGATGCGAGGGCCTACCATGGCTTACCTCTACCTTCACAGGGTTAAGGATTTAAGGATCGGTGTCAAGGTTTTTTCCGTATGTTATTTCGGTGTGTTGTTTGTGTGTGTGTGTTTTATATATATATATATCCGGTTCGTATTCCTGCTCTTAGGTAGAAAAGACTTGGTAATAATTGATAATTAAAAACAATGAAAATCAGGAAACACCAGGAGATTCATGAAAAATGAACAAAATCATGAAAATGATGAACAATCATGAAAATTATGAAAGTCATGGAAAATCATGAAAAATCAATGAAAATTATGAGAAAAACATGAAGAACCATGCAAATAATGAAAAATCGTGAAAATATTGAAAAATCATGCGAAACTTGATGAAACATGATGAACAGTCATGAAATCTATGAAAAATCATGAAAATGATGGAATTTGATGAAAAGTCATGAAAATCTTGAAAAAACATGAAAATCATGCAAATTAAATAACGAAAAATCAAGAAAAATAATGGAAGATCATGAAAATCTAGATAAAACATGATGAACAATCATGAAACTGTTGAAAATCATGAAAACTCATGGGAAGTGATGGAAAATCAAGAACAATCATGGAAAATGATGGAAATTCATGAAAATCTTTGAACAATCATGAAAAATCATGCAAATGATGAATAATCAAGAAAAAATACTGGCAAAACATGAAACTGATGAGAGATGCTGAACATCATGAGAATCATGAACATGCTGCTCTTTCTCTCCTATTCCAAGCTTGCTTGCTTTCTTGCCTGCTTGGCTGTTTGCTTGTTTGCTTGCTTGCTTGATTGCTTGCTTGGTTGCGCTCTTGTGGGTGTTCTTGCTTGCTTGCTTGCTCGCTTGCTTGCGTGCGGCTACCTAGCCTGCTTGCTTCTTACTTGAGCAAGAAGATCAAGCAAAACAGCAAGTGTACATCCAAGCACAACGAAGAACCATATCGACAGCACAAGTTTGCATCTGCACGCCTTTTGGGGGAATCGGCTCTTATGAGCACATGCAATTACAGTGGACAAAAAAGAAGACGGAATGATGCACCGACGACAGACAATGACACTTCCCGTAATTTTCCGACAGTTCCACACAAGCTCCTTCAGAGAACGCGGGTGATGGAAAGTTCCAACCGTCTTCAATGTGAACAAAACCCATCCGGAGCACAGCCCGTCAAAAGCTCTGACACCACGTCTGCCGCTGTAGCAGCTCTTGATCGACCGCACAAGCTGAACACCGACTTTCAGCATAAGAGTCCGCTTATCATCCAAATGTTCTTTCAGGCCAAAAGGACGCTTTTGCCATCCAAACTCTGTGTTCTTGCTTAGCTAGAGCAAGAGGAACCGGAAAAAATACAACGAAAAACGGAAAAACAATACGCAAAAAGAAAAACAACAACGGAAACATAATACGGAAAAATAGCGCCACCGGATTCAGGATTAGGGTTCAAGGATTAAGGTTTGGGGTTCGGAGTCTTTAGAAGCTTGTTGAGGGGTTTGATGGGTTTAGGTCCTGGGGCGAAAGGTTCCGGCGTAGGGTAGCTCTACGGCGAGATTTTAAACCCAAAACCCTAAAGCCCTGAATCCCTAAAACCCCAAAACCTTAAACCCTAAACCCTCAAACCCTAACCCTTAAACCCTAATTGCCGCAATCCGCCTTCTCAAGCTGCGCT